TTTTTCATTATTTTTCTCATCTATTATAAGGATATATTTAGAAACAAAAGGGTATATTTTACTTACTTGCTTTAACTAATTTTAATTGATTTCTTACATTTTATACAGGTGGGAGTAATAAAATACTCGTCGATCCTTGTTATGAACAACCTCTTAAAAGGTATAAATGATTTTTATTATAAGATGTGAATTAAGTTTTTTAATATAACCTATATTCAAAGTCACTAATTATGAGAGAGAATGTAATATAAATATAACAATTTTATTTAGATGTAGATAAAATTAAAAATTTATTTCATTTTCAAACAAAATTATGACTTAACTCTGATGTTTAGTTTTGATGAGAGGTATAGAGTGTCTTAGAGTTTATTTGGATTAGTGATGGGAGAAGTAATTTTTTTACAAAATAACTTTTACAAAAGTCAGTTAAGGTAAAATTAATTAATGTAATGTGATTTATGTTTGAATTTTATAAAAAAAAATTAGTTTGACAAATTGAAATCTATTTGGATAATTACAAATTTATTTCATTTTCAAACAAAATTATGACTTAACTCCAATGTTTAGTTCTAATGAGAGGTGTAGAGTGTCTTAGGATTTGTTTGGATTAGTGATGGGGGAAATAACTTTTTGGCAATCTAACTTTTGCAAAAATCAGTTAATATAATATGATTTATGTTTGGATTAGTTTTTATAAAAAAAAAATTAGTTTGACAAATTGAAATCTATCTGGATAAATAATAAAAAAGTAAGTTGAGATATAAAATGTCCAAAAAGGACATGAGTTTTATAATATATATCATATTTACATAATTTGATAAATTTAAAAAAAATAAAAAAGGAAATTAATATATAATTAGAAAAATTTGTAAGTATTAAAAACCATTTAATATGTATTGAATAGATAAAAATAAATGTAAATATAAAATATTAAAATTGTTATTGAAAACTACTTTGTGCGACTTATAAACTAATATATAATATGAAATACATATAAGTATTTTAGTGAGATCATATAACATATACTATAATGAATTTATAATTTTTTTAATCTTTCAAATTAATCAACTAGATCTTATATTAAAAAAATAAAAAAAATATTATTATTTAATTGATATATTTAATGTCATTATTTTTTTATAAAAAAATCTCTTCCTTGATCTTTTTCCTTTTTTCCTTCTCCTCCCTTTCTGCCTCATTGCCTTTTTCTTTCTTTCTCTTGGATAGAGATGTAACTTTTATGTTGGGGGAGTTTTTGACTTAAAAGTCCTTTTAACTGATCACTCATCTAAACAACACTCACTCTCCATGTTTCTCCCAAACTAACATTTTACACTTCCCACCTCATGTTTTCTCTTCCAAATGCTGAAACAACCACACCCTTTATTAGAGGGAATAATATTATAAAATTTAATGAATAGTTAATATATTTACAAAAAAATCCTCATAATTATTCATTGGGATAATTAATCTCAGGATCATTATAATTTCATCTGATTTTTAATCAGGTCTCTATAAAATTTTTTCTTTTTATCATATCATTTTACTTTCATGTATTTTTAATTAGGTCCTTATAATTTTTTATCAAGTCCTTATAGTTTCACTTATTTTTTAATTAGGCCCTTTGTAGTTTTAAAAAATTATTTATTAAATTTATTCTGTAAAATTATTTTCATTTTTAAATTATTAATTATATAATTGGACAAAATAATTCATATAATCATTAAGTAATTAATAATTAATCAGAATAATCAATTATACTTATCTATACATTATTTATAATTATATTCTAATTTTACAAAATTTTATTATTAGAATTTGAATTTTATAATTATAAACATTAAAATTGAAAAATAAATAATATATATGCTTAACTAAAAATTTAAAAGAATATTAACATAAGATTATTATAATAATTTATTAGTTATAGAATAAAGAATAAAAACTACAATGGCCTAATTAAAAATAAAATAAAACAATAAGCACTAATAAAAAAATTATAAAAACCTAATTAAAAACATATGAAATTATAAGGAGCTGATAAAAAGTAAAAAAAATATATAAAGACCTAATTAAAAACCTATTAAAGCTATAAAGATTGTATATTAATTATCCCTTATTCATTCAGCTGTCTATTTTTCACCCACCTACTTTATACTATATTGTTTGTTCGAGGTAAAATAAAATTGACAATTTTTCGCAAACACAAATTATTTCTTAACACGTGTCTTGCTTCATTCATTACTTTATTATTATGCAATGAAAGGAATGCTATCATTCTATTCAAGGATACTGACATGAAAGATAATATTTATCAGTTTCTTTTTATAAGTAACAAATTCTTTATGTTTTTAAATATAAGAAATAATTTTTTATATAAAATTTTAAATTAGTCTTTTCATTTTTATTCTTATTAAATATATATGTTACTTATTATCTCTCCACAATAGATTTTTGGGAGAATTAGACCAAAGGATCTGTAGAGAAAAATATTTAATAAGAAAGATCATAAAAATTAAAATTATTTAAAAGGACCAAGTGTTCAGATATAAATTTTAAAATACCAAATTACCCCTTCTACTTTCTTCGCTGCAATTCTCCCAATTTTGTTTACACTCATGAATAAAAAAGAGAGTAAAATACATCAATCAATATTCTTTCTATTTTGTGTGGAGTGGGGTGCAGCCAGGCGGGCTAATGGAAATTGAGGGAACTCACTAAACTGTCAAATAAGTGAAATATTGTATGAGAGAATATAAGAGGATTAATAATGAATATTTTAGTCTTTCTGAAATTATATTTTAATATATGGTCTTTTAAAATAATTCAAATTTTTATAATCATCTGCATTGAATATTTTTGTCCATAGGTCCTTTGTTCTAATTCTTCCTAAATTTTTATTCATTATTTTTTATGTACTGTCTTTATAAATAATGTTATAATTGGAAATATATATCTCTTACATATTTATTATTTTACTAAATTTAACTAATATTTTGAATGTTGTTTCTTATTTAGTAATTTATTATTTAGTGATTTAATAAAAAATTCGTTGCTCATCTATATTCACAAGAGAGTTATTTATTATTTATTTTTAATTTAATAATATCTCTACATATCACCATATTTTTATGACATTTTCCGTATCTATGGCATCTAATTATTCTTTAAATCAACAAACATAATTATCATTAATAAAAATATTTACATCATAACTATTTTTTATCAGAATTCAGGATTATGATTTGATTTGGTTTTGTTTTGATTATTTAGACATCAATTTGATGCTTTAGTTTTCTAATATTTTATCATTACAGAAGCCTAATAACTAAAATAAATAGATGTCTTAAACTGATGAAAGAACGGTCAACATCAATTGCTAGTTCTTTCAAGCTGGAAATTGACATTCTTAGCTTTATGTGTTGATGTTAATGATGCTTAGTGTTTGCGACTTAAATTTTATAATATTTATATTTTAAAGCAGGATTTTATTTTGTTTTGTTTTTATATACTTGAAAAAAGGTGAGAAAATAATGTCCTTTTGTTAAACAGGCCTGAAGTCCGTGATCCGATCCGGGCCCATGCTTTTAAAGGTCTGGCCTTTGCAAATAAATCTATTGGTGAGTGCCTATCAAAGGTAGGCCGGTTTTCCTAACTACATCCACCACTATTTTAGCCACTCAAAGTATGGAACATAGACCTTTTTTTATAAAAGAAGATGCAGGCATGCAAGGTTCCATTTGAATAAATAAACTGAGTTCGAAGTCCCACTGAGAAAATTACTCATATTTAATGCCCGATAGTAGAATTACATTTAATAGGAAGATACCTATACGTAGCAAAAAATTTTGAGTCACATCATAACCATTTAAAAAACAGAAGAACCTATCTACCTCTACAATTGGAACAACCTCATGCATCTGATTATTTTTAGAAGCTATATAAAGTAGCTTCTCAAAATAATTGGGAAATTATTTTTTAATTTATTTATTTTCAAAAGATTAAAGAGATGTTAAAGTTTAACAAACGTTATTTTTTTTCCAAAAAAATAGTGTTTTTTTAATGGGAAAAAGTTTAAACAAACTAGCCTAAAGTTGAGTACTATTTGATACCAATCTTTAGTTAGTTAAGACTAAGAAAAGCTCCGATCATATCAAATTGTGGAAGATTAATGTCCAATATCGGATTAAATTTTACAAAAAAAATTAAATGAATAAATCCGTTGAGAATATGTTTTGATCTGTGTGGGCCATAATATGTTGGTATTCAATCGCCAGTCTCCCTGTTAACATAAAGGATATGTCCAGCGGGTAGAAGAGTATTAATTGTTCACACACACACGCTTTTCTAGGCATAGATATTCTCCTATTAGAATCAATCTTATTTGAGATACTATAGAGTACTAAACGTAAATATTTCTCCCAATAGGATATTCAAATTTTGGTTCACCAAGTTATGAAGGACTAATCCATTTCATTAAACCAACTCACGTTAACCACCCACATATTTGACAAGCTGCTTCTTGAAACACTTGTATGAAAAGATTCCAATTCTCATTCATGATACTCTTTCGATCCTTAATAAAAGAACTAACAAACTAATTTGAGTAAATTAATAATGTTAGTTAAATTAGTTTACTAGTATATAATATGTTCTTTCTAAAACATCCTAAGTATCTTTTTAATTCCCTCTTTTTCTTTCCTAATTGATTGTTGGAGAAATATCAATAGCGCTAATTTAGAAAAAAATTGATAAACATGTGAAATAGATTTTTACATATAAAATAACATCAACTTTTTAATTAAGTCTTATATTAAGGACACAGGAGGAGTATTATACAATTTGTGGCCCCAGTCTCTCTCGTGGGTTTTTGGACATGTTCTTCGTGGGCATTCCATGATGTCTCAGGTTCGAAACTATCACACACACACACACACACATACACATATATATATATATATAATATATAATATTATACGATTCAAACTGATCCTAATGGCTGCTGAAATGCCAGTTTTAGTTTTGAGGGCAGTATTGAAAATCCATATAGTGTCCCTATTAAATGCCGAAATACCATCCATCTCCCTTTGCCCTCCTTCTAGAAGGACTAATATAACAACTCCTTTAAGGCAAGGATACCTCTTGTGCTGATCAGTCTGCTTAAGGTAGCAACAGCAAGTACTGAATATACAAAGTGTAAGGAATGAACTATTTTATGCAGCAGCTTTCCAGGAAGAAAGAGGGGGAGTGTCAGCGTCCTTATAGGTAGCTATTCCAGGACCAGATCTTTCGCCCTTGATCGCGTCAGCAGAAACGAAAGACTCAAGTTCTGCCATTTCTTCTGGGGTGAGCTTAACTGACAAAGCCCCAATGTTTTGGTTCAGGTTCTCAATTTTGGTGGTTCCTGGTATAGGGCACACATCATTGCCCTGATGATGAACCCAGGCCAGTGCTAGCTGGGATGGAGTGCATCCCTTCCTTGTAGCCATTTCATTAACCCTCTCAAATATAATCTTATTGTGCTCCATGTTTTCAGGATAGAATCTCGGCAGTCGCTGAAATGGGGTACAATTGACACACGAATAAGATTAATCTCAATGTCAATCTATCAACAAGGATGTTTCAACCATAGATATAGAATTGTGTCCATCATTTACATTGAAACAAAGTGTCAGGGAGAACAAATTTTTTATCTCAACCTTAAGAAGAGGATTGTCATATGGCAAGGCAACATCCAGTTCCCTATTGATTGAAATTATATCTATAAGCCTCCTAGGCATAAACTGGATGGATAGAAACAAGTTCTGTTTTCATGATCAACCCAGGAAAGCAAAAAAATCCAAATAAAGATGCATCATGATAACCTTCTCTCAATCCATCTAATATTTCCAGTCAATTTCTCTTCTGTCAGGGTTTAATCATGCAATCTCTCAGGGTTCAGACCTCAATTTTCAATGCAAAAACTAATTAAGAGGGAAAAATAGGACAAAGATCGGAAGTGTAGAAGGAAAAATCGGGCTTGAATTTAACATGGGAGCTAAGCAATTTAACAATCTTTTTATTTTCCAAAAATCATGCCACTACTCAAGATTTGTCAAAAGAGATAAGCACTTGGAACTACTCAAGATTGTGTTATGATCTTCATAATTTATCCAGGTTATAAACAAACTGATGCTAAAGTGAACGCAATCGTTGTATTATGCAAATATAATTATTAAATCCACAAGGCAGATAATCAACTAGTTTAACAAAAACATTTTACTGCTATCTAATCTTGAATGGTAAAACCATAACTGAAGCTTTGAAGGACACAAAAGGTTAGAAGAAGCTGAGAATTATTAACTTTCACACTAGAAGCTAAGCTGGTTTATTATTATAAATGGGACCATATAAACACAAACCTTCCGAAAGTCATTCTCTGAAAAGCTTTCTACCACCTTTGCTCCTGAGGAAAAGAATCCTCGTCCAAGAGGACTATATGCTACAATTCCAATGCCAAGTTCTCTAAGAATTTCACAAATGCAAAATCAGAGGTTGCAAAGCTAGACACTAATTTTTTATCAAAACACACAGTAGAGAAAAAGGATAAATATTATGATCAGCAACTTTAGTAGCTCCAACCTCACCTGCAAGTTGGAATTATGTCTTCCTCCACATCTCTTGCCCATAAGGACCACTCCAACTGCACAGCTGTTATAGGATGTACAGCGTGTGCTCTTCTGATTGTTGAAGCTGAGGCCTCAGACAAGCCAATGTATTTAACTTTACCCTCCTCAACAAGTTTTTTTAGTTCCCCGATCTTAGAATAAATAACATGAAAATAAGGCTACAGTACGGCATCGTACAAGTAGATTTTTATATATGTTAACGCATAAAAAAAATTATAGGACATGTTTATCAGCCAGATCATGAACATGTTGAAGTGGATGCATGTCAAATATGGACCAATTGTCAGTTCCATTTATCAAAGTTGCATCTCCTTGAAAAGTGATGGAAGATAAATTGCAGATTCACAAAAGTACTCTTAGCTCCAAAGAATCACAGATATATCTTTATAGTAAAAACCTGAATTCTCATATAGTAAGTCTAGAAAGATAGCATATGACTTAAGACTTATGAGCATATCTTTCGCCAAACCCAAGAAAAGGTATAAGATAATGTGGAGTGAACTGGTCAACTCTTGTGCACAGAAAATGCACAAATGGAGGGTACGTAGAAGAAAGGGATTCTTGATTCCATAAGTCATTGTGAAAACCGTTACTTGGCCTTTTAGTCCATCTAGCACAGCCAAGATGGCAATTTAAAGAAAATTGAAGACAATGTTTTGTTTTTAAAAGGCTTAAGATCAAACCATACAATTATGCAGCATACATTTTACAACTAGCAGGGAAAAGAAATTGATTCTGAAATTCATCTTAAATTCCTCCAAACAAGAAACTTTTAGAGCCGAATAAACCACTTGACCTTTAGAAATCAGGTCAGGTGAAGAAAAAGTTTGGGAGAATCACAATGAGCGGCCAAGGAAAGAAAATAATTACCAATAAATTCTAATGACAAGTGAGACAAGTGAACAGTTGTCATTTTACTATCCCGTAACTCATCATTGCATGTTGATATCTTGTTACTAGAACTCTATGGTAATCATGATCTTGGGACTTCATAGCAATTCTCCCAAAAAGTTTAGTTATAAGCACAAGGAATACCAAGAATATTGGTCCAAGGCTATAAGATTTAACAGATCTGAAACATGAGCGAAAAACCAAGGCCACAAAATGTAAAATGTATTCCAAAATCCTGATTTTCTTTTCTTTTTTTGCAGGAAAATCATCTCATAGGATTAAAATAACGCTCTATAGTTTTTTGGCTCAAGAGGGTGGAAATCTTTTAAGAAAACATATCAGAATCACCAGGCTCGAGCATTATATATGATTCTGTATCTATAATAAACAACTGAGGAGCCAGAACCAAGAATGATAGTCTCAATCTGCTGCAATCTCACACAGTGCTAACTAATCAAGGATTTAGGTTTTTCATTATATGTATAATATCATATATGTCATATTACAAATGTTCCCCAGCGTTTTGGTCCAAGCCTGTTTGCCTCCCCCGGTTTAAGATATCTCATTTCAACAATCTTGTTTTTATTTTGTTACACCTGATGCAATATAAATATGTGAAAGTTACAGTGATAATTTATTGTCAGAGTGCGTGTAAAAACATTTTCATGGTCTTTAAGCCAGGATTGAGTTCTCAATAATGTGTACTACTTACAATCAGAGTAACTCCATTGGAATACGATAAAACTCAACTTATAAGAGAAACAAACATAGAGCAATGAATCGCATGACTATTTTCGTTAAAATTTGGATACGGGATACGTGAAAGGTGTATTACTCAACAGCCTGTCTATCTTGTATCCAAATTTTAACGACAATACATAGTGAAACTGATTTTATATCAAACATAAAAACTGCAATTTACTCAGAGAAAAGAATATCCAAAGCAGATAAAAGACGGACCGTGACTTCAATAGGCACACGAGTATCAACACGATGCTGGTAATAGAGATCAATACAATCGACCTCCAGTCTCTTCAGGCTCGCCTCACATGCGGCTCTCACGTATGCAGGATCGCCCCGTATATCAGCCTTGTCATCGGCAAAGCTGACTCCGAATTTGGAGGCCAATTCGACCTTGTTCCTGAAACCTCCCTTCAGAGCCTGGCCGAAGAAATTCACACCCAATTCGTCAAAAACCCACAGAGTGAACAAACGCGAAGAAGCTACAAACTCAAAAAGGACCTGGAATCGAGCATACCTTTCCGAGAAGAATTTCATTTGTGTGAGGGCCGTAGACGTCGGCGGTGTCGAGATGTGTGATACCGCTCTGGATGGCGTGGTGGACGAGAGCGATCATGTCCGGTTCGGGTTTAGGAGTGCCATAGCCAGCAGACATGCTCATGCAACCCAGTCCCTGGGCCGATACCTCCAAACCTTGTGAACCCAGCTTGATCCTTCCCACTTTCGCCATTTCAGAGAATTGATTTGAGCTTCCACTGTGAGTATGATAAGGTAGAAGCACAATATATAGAGTATGGAAAGTGCTCGACTTTGTTGTGCCACTTTTGTCAACGTGCCCCTCTTCTACAGTATCGATAAGGAAATAACGGTCTCTTGTTTATTATACTCTTTAAAGTCTTATCAGAGGACTTTTTGGTTTGGTTATGGGTGGCAAAAGTCTGTGCTTTGAAAGATTTAACTTTGAGTTTTTTGGCCAGAAAAGTTTGAACTTTGAAGGATTTAACTTTCAAGGATTGATCATTTATTGTATTTCATTTATTAGTACGGAAAAGCAACAAATATGTTTTTTTAATAAAAATCAATTTATTTAACAAAACGATAAATTAAAACATATAAAATCACCAACGAATTTTCTGTCAGGATCAAGTTGGGAGCCCAAAGTTTAAAAACGGAAACATATTATAACGGACTAACTTACACTGTAACCCAACAATATTTGAAACAAATATAGTGTGAAGCTTCAACCAATAAACCCACAACAAGGTCCAAAAAAAAAAAAACCAATAAACCCACAAGATTATTAACATTTTGAAGACTAGTTAAAGGTTAAATCATGTCTCGAAAAGAATTGCTTCTGATAGGAGGATACCTATGCTTTAGTGAGGAAAAAAAAAGTTGAGTCATGTCTCGAAATTGCCATAATACCATCAAATTAGACATTGCGCAAAGTCTTAAAAGAGTGAGAATATACACTATTTGACGATATTTATAAAATAAGGAACATGAGAAGATGCTACTATCACGAATCACCAACTCACGCAAGTAACTCAAGCTGGAGATAGCTTTTAAGCTATTGAAAAAAAATACGTGCACAACCTTACTAAGAAGATGAAGTGGCTTTACAAGTCACACATATTATGTGTCAATACACTTGGTGGAGTAATGCTAGGAAGGAAAGATGACCAGAGATAGCAAGAATTCATGTATAACAAAATTTAGTTATTTTTATAGATTAAGGTACAAATTTGTCCTTAAATTTTTACTTAATAGAGTTGGGCACTTAGAAGTTTGTTTGGGTACAAATTTACTATAAAAATTTAAAATTGTCATAATATTGCCCCTACCGTTATAAAATTAATGTTGACTATTAAAATAATGATATCGACTGTTAACATTTTTAATATTAGGGGCAATATTGCTACCATTTTAAATTTTTAGGGTAAATTTGTACCCAAAAAACTTTCGAATGCCCAACATTTCTGAGCAAAAATTTTTAAAACAAATTTATGTCTTGACCCTATTTTTATTAAATACTTCCTTGGGTCCTACTATAACATTCTAATTTTTGAATTAATTGGGTCCGTTTGTTAACATTAAATTTGAGATTATTTGAACATTAAATGCATTTTTACTAATTTTATTTCTAACTAATTCTATTTTCTCTCTTTGTTAATTTTTATACATTTTTTTTATCTTTTTTCTCACACTTACCTTCTTATAAATATGAATATATTTAGGGTAAAAAAAGTATATTTCTTAATATTTCTATCTTTTTTTTATCTTGTTAATTCAGCTCTTAGGAATATAAATATTAAAATACTCACCTTGTCCTACTTATAAGCTTTATATTTGGAGAGATGTGTGATTCATTTTATAAACTTTAATTTGAATCTATCTCAATATTTAATATATTTTTTTAATATTGTCTTTAATTATTTATTCCCTCTCTTTTGCCACAATCTCACATTACATCTTTATACATTCTTTTTTATCATTTTTCTCATCTATTATAAGGACATATTTAGAAACAAAAGTATATATCTTATTTATTTGCTTTTAACTAATTTTAACTGATTTCTTATTATATGTAAATTGATTATTTGAAACTCATAACAAGAACAGGTGGGAGTAATAAAATACTCATTGATGCTTGTTATGAACAAGCTTTTAAAAGGTATGAATGATTTTTATTATAAGATGTGAATTAAGTTTTTTAATATAACCTTTATTCAAAGTTACTAATTATGAGAGAATGTAATATAAATATAACAATTTTATTTAAATGTAGATAAAATTAAAAATTTATTTCATTTTCAAACAAAATTATGACTTAACTCCGATGTTTATCTCTGATGAGAGGTGTAGAGTGTCTTAGGGTTTATTTGGATTAGTGATGGGAGAAGTAATTTTTTTGCAATCTAACTTTTGCAAAAGTCAGTTAAAATAAAAATAGTTAATGTGATGTGATTTATATTTGAATTAGCTTTTATAAAAAAAATTAATTTGACAAATTGAAATCTATTTGGATAATTAAAAATTTATTTCATTTTCAAACAAAATTATGACTTAACTCCAATGTTTAGTTCTGATGAGAGGTGTAGAGTGTCTAAGGGTTTGTTTGGATTAGTGATGGGAGAAGTAATTTTTTTACAATATAACTTTTGCAAAAGTCAGTTAAGGTAAAAATCAGCTAATATAATATGATTTATATTTGGGTTGGCTTTTATTTAAAAAAAATTAGTTTGACAAATTGAAATATATTTGGATAAATAATAAAAAAGTAAGTTTAGATATAAAATGCTCAAAAAAAGACATGAGTTTTATGATACATATCATATGTACATAATTTGATAAATTTAAAAAAATAAAAAATTAATATATAATTATAAAAATTTGTAAGTATTGAAAACCATTTAATCAGATGTATTGAATAAATGAAAATAAAATAAATGTAAATATAAAATATAAAATTGTTATTGAAAAGTAATTGGTGCGACTTATAAACTAATATATAATATAATAACACATAAAAGTATTTTAGTGAGATCATATAACATATGTTATAATTAATTTATAATTTTTTAATCTCTTTAAATTAATCAACTAAATTTTATATTAAGAGATCTCTTCCTTAATCTTTTTCCTTCTCTCTTTATTTCTTTTGTCTTTTCTCTTCTCTTGTACTTTTTTCCTTCTCCTCCCTTCCGGCCTCATTGTCTTTTTCTTTCTCTCTCCATAGTAGAGAAGTAACTTTTATTTAGGTTCGTTCAGATTAGCGATTGAAAAAGTAGTTTATTGTTAATTTGATATTTGGAAAAATGAAGTTGGAAAAAATTAAATTGGATAAGTTAGATTGTAGTTCAGAAAAGGTAGTTTGTAAAAATGAGATTGATAAAAAGTTGTTTGGATTATGATTAAGTAAAAGTAAGCTTATTTATAAAATTACCAAAATGGTTACGAGTTTTAATAAATAATGAAACATTATTAAAAAATAATTTTACATAATACAATAAATTTAAATTAATTTAATATAAAGAAGTGAAATTTAATGAGTGAATTAAATTTTAAAACTTTAGAGAAATCACAAAAAATATTTTAAATATAAAGTGAAACATGATTAAAAAATGAATTTACATAATACAATAAATTTAAATTAATTTAATATAAAGAAGTGAAATTTAATGAGTGAATTAAATTTTAAAACTTTAGAGAAATCATAAAAAATATTTTAATAATGATTGAGTAAGTAATTTTAACAAAAGTATATTTCTAACTTATTTATTACTTTCAACTAATCTTAAAACATTTTTTGTTATGTACAAATTAGTTATTTGAGGCTTATAATAAGAACCCAAGAAGATAATAAATTTCTTAACTTTTTCTCTTTTCGTGTTTCAAAAGCTATAAGTTATAAGCTGTTAACTTTATTTTATAGCTTATTGTAGCTTTTTATACAAAAACCAGATTGCTCAATCGCCAAGCCAAATAGCACAAATTCTTCAAGAGCAGCTTATTTGCCTCCAAACGCTTAGTTAAACAGGCTAATAGCTTTCATGGTGGGGGAGTTTTTGACTTAAAAGTCCTTTTAACTTATCACTCATCCAAACAAATCCCACTCTCCATATTTCTCCTAAACTAGCATTTTAAGATGTATTTGGATTGGCGGTAGCAAAACTGATTTTTATTCTAACTGACTTTTGTAAATTCAAATTAGAATAAAAGTCAGTTAGTGTAATGTGATTTATGTTTGGGTTGGTGCTTATAAAAAGTCAATTGGAAAAGCTAAAGCTTGTTTAGATGATTAATAGAAAAATGAGTTTAGTTGCAAAATGACTGAAAATGGTATGAATTTTATTAAATAGTAGTGTCTAATATTATATATTTTTAATGTGATAATAGTTTAAAAAATACCTAAAATTATTATAATAAAATAAACATAGTTTTTTTTGTGAAATTATAAAATAAAAATATTTGTTGCCAAGAAAAATTTAAAAACACATTATAGATAATTAAATATATATAATGGACAAACATGAGTATAAATTAAAATTCATTTGATCTCTAATTAAAGTACATGAAATCGCATAACTAATTGTAATAAGTGAAGGGAGAAGAGTGAGGAAAAAAGTGAAGGACAGATTTAGGTAAGTGTGTTTTGATTTTGAATGAGTATTAATACAAGTCTAACAGTAAATTACCTTACTAATCGCTCTAAAAGCAGCTTTCCTCAGTGTTGAAACGCATCCTTGTTTTAGTCAAAAGTTAGTTGGGCTTTTAGCTCCACCCAAACACCAAAAAAAGCCACAAAAACCCCAAACTGAAATTTCACATATTCTCATACACTTTTTGAGGTTTCACATATTTTCATACACTTTTTGAGGTCCAAACGGAGATTCAAACGAGTCCTTACACTTCCCACCTCACGTTTTCTGTTCCAAATGCTGAAACAAACACACCTTTTATCAGAGGGAATGATATTATAAAATTTAATGAATATTTAATATACTACCTTCGGTTCTTAATATAGGACTCTGTTTGACTTTTATCTTAGTCTTAAATATAAGATCCCAATCTAATTTGTATCTTATATTTATATTTTTTTTCCAAGGTAGTCCTTCTAATAATTGTAGTTCTAGCCAATATAATTGATTAGTAAGGATATTTTAGGAAAGACAACACCTATTTATTACAAATAACTAACTTAACGTCTTTCCTTAATCTCCTCAAATTAGTCAACTGAGTCTTATAATTAGGACTGGAGGTAGTATTTACAAAAAATTCTCATAATTATTCGTTCAGCTGTCTATTTTTCACCCACCTACTTTATACCATACTTATTTGTTGGAGGTAAAATAAAATT